ATAAGCATCAAAAATGAGTTTCTGATGGAAAGATTATTTAGAAGGATTAATCTTTTCCAAGTGGTATATGTTACAAGGGTTTCGTACATATAAGTAACGCCGAAATCCGAGTTATAACGAAGAAGTTATAACCCGTCGAAGTTTTTCGGCAAAACAGACATGACACCGGGAGACGTAAATAGTGAATTTACGATGGATGACATTTTAGCCTTAGAAATCTAAACAAAATTTGTAGTATACGTTAAACCGATAACATACAACAAAATAACGCCCAAATCTGACTTCATATGAGGAAGTTATGAATTTTCTAAGCTTTGGCATATCAGTGCACGACCCGAAACTCGAATTTTAGACCGAACGGTTTTTGGCTCACACGACCTAAATGAGAGTTGAATATCTCATTAATAGGAACTCAACAGTAAAAAGACAGACGAAAACGGAGTCCATATGTAGAAGTTACGAATTTTATGCAGACGTTTAATAGTATAATCTCCTTGTACTGTTAAATTTAAGATCGGTCGAGAATTAGCTGACGGAGTTAAAATGAAATTTGTAGATCTTATTTGTACCTACGCGTCGATATAAAAGAACATCGAAAACGGACCTCGTATGTGAAAGTTATGAATTTTTGAAAATCTGCTGATTTCCACCCCGTATGCGATGCCACGTGTCAGCACCTGGCTCAGACTTGGAGCCCAAGCTCACTCACGATGTGAACATCAAGAAATTCATGACGTGAATCTTCCTCCAGCCCCTATAAATAAGAGGTGAATCCATCTTCATTCCTCACACCTCCATCACTCCCCCTCTCTCTAGAACCTCTCTCTAGCCCTATAACCCCCCTGAAAAGCCTAAAGAACCTCCCTAGCACGAGGCGGAAGCCCCGGAGCGCCCGACGGATCCGAGAAGAAGAGATTTTCGGTCCGGAAATCCTGCTCCAGCGAAGCCCGGTTTTTAATAAAAAACCCGTTTTAAGTGAGATACGCCTACCATACTTTAAATATAGCTTATATATAAACGTAATATTGGTATAGATGAGATTTAGCAGTGATTCAAAGTCGTTATATTGATTGATCTATTTACGAGAATGATGTCTAGGCTGTGATTTAGTGTGGTGTTTAAAGTGGGATTTACAAACAGTATACTTCGTATACCAAACGGACCCTACCTCCGATATGGTCCTACCTGGTTGTTCCTTACTTTATAAATCATGAAGTAAAATTTGAGTTAATGATGAATCTACACTAATAATTACTAGCAATAAAGATTAGACTAAAGTTTAGCAATAATATTTCTAGGTTTCGTCGTAGGAAAATAGAATCGTTAGAAGCGAAGCGTTGCCTGAGTTTGGAATCATCACTTTAACAAGTGTGTGCATGGTTCTTTTCATCTTACACATAGATTTGAAGTATTTAATATAAATTATGTGTTGTGAGTGCATAGTTACTTTCATCTTACACATAGATATGAAGTATTTTATATAAACTACATGTTATGCGTGCATATTATCTGTATACTTGCTATCTGTGTCGGATGAACAATTTTATACAAGTTTTATATGATTTAAAATGTATATGTATTTATATCTACGTAATATGTTGGATAAAACATGGGTAGATGAAATATGAGTTGGACCATAAGTTGAGAGGTGATATAGACCATGTGGTAAGGGTGAGAGGTGGACGATGTGAGAAGCCTTTTTCCCAAATGTTGGCCCTATCATCTAACAAAGTATGGATGGCAACCACAACTATTCTAGACAGTCCAATGGAACACTAGCAGTCTTGCAGCCTGTAGGTGTTGTGAACGATGTGCTCACCGGTGTACTCTAAAAACCCATTGACCTGTATTGTGAGTGGACTCTCGAAAACGATATTGTTAATAAACGAGATAACCCGGGCAGATGCGCCTAAAGGAAGTTACCGACAGATGCGCCTCATAAAGAATATCACAATTCTGGCAGCTGCACCTAAGTGATAAAATTAGCGACAGTGCTTAACAGTTGTGCCATTGACAATGATGGACTTCGTACATATTCCTTAGGATTTCATTAGGAATAAATGAACGAGGAATAACTGATTCTTAAGGTAGATCCTTAAGAGTAAAGAAGATAATGGAGAAGAGTAATTGGGTTGATTAATTGTTTGAAGGTTAAACATGATAACTATAATATTGTGGGTTGAAAACCCTATGTACTCACCATGTTTCTCAACCTAACCCACTCAGTTTATTTATATCACATGTGTTGATATGAAGTCACATTACACTGAGAGATTAAGGAGATATAAATCACTAGTGATAATGAATGTAAGTTCTGTTTATGCTTATGTTTTTGTATTGACGATGACATCCCAAATGTTTTAAAATGAATAAAAATACTTTTCTTCGGAAATGCTTTGATAACGTATTTATCATGTTTTACTGGGAAGAAATTCCGCAACATTTTTATTAAAAGATGTACTCTGATTTTTATAAAGTATAAACAAAAATCGGGGTTTTCTGGCCGTAAAAATGGGGATGTCACAAACAGGTCTGTAGTCAACCATATTGTAACCTATAAAGTTACTGACAATAAACTTTTTGATAGAAGCAACTTCAGCCATGTACTTGGATTAAAGAGAATCCCACAGTTCTTTTGCAGATTCAAAATTTTGATAGATATCAAAAAAAGAGTCAGACATACCATTGAGAATATGACCACAACATATGTAATCATCATTTTCCCACTTTGATCTCCTTCTTGTTGCCTCCTAAGGGTCATCTTCAACAGATTCTGGTAAGACTGGCATGGTTGTACTCAGAACATACACCACTTTCAGAGTAGTAAGTAGAAAGTGCATCTTCTTCTGCCATCTACAAAAATCCTGTCCTTCAAACTTGTTCAATTTGTCAAACTTGGTTATCATATCATTCACAGAATCACCACTTGCCATTATCACATAATGCTTTAATCTTTGTTAGAAATTGGGTATAGAAAGGCTTGGAATTCTGAGAATTGTGTTAAACACTTTCAGATTAAAGCATTTGGGTGGTACTTCTAATAATCTTTAATCGGATAAGACTCAGAGAGACAAGAACTTAGAATGTTTTGATGATAGTTTCGTATATACCAGAAATGAGACCAAAACCGACTTTATGATCTTTATCTGAAAACTATCATATGACAGTTTCAAACTGTCATAAAACTATAAAAACTAACATAAAAACGAAAGTTTGGATAAGGATCAAACAATCGTCAATTCTCTGAAAATTCAATTTTCTAATGTACTTTTAATACAGTAACATATCCTATATAAAGGTCGTCCCCAGCCAGGGGCTCTACCCCTTGGACCCCGCCAGGGGCGCTGCCCCCGGACCCCAGTTCGTTTAGGGGGCTTCGCCCCATAGTGTACTTTGAAACTTGATCAAACTTAAACAAGTGTATGTTACACACCTTCCTTACTTGTTTAATATTTATCAAGATCACTTTTGGTCAACAAAGTAATCCCATTACACTTACATAATATTGATGATAACAAATCACCAACATGATTCAACCTGCTTATGTATATCCAATTTTTGGGTTAAATTGCAGCATGATGACTCATTATAAGAACAAAAAGCCAGAGGTCTCTTGGGTGTCAACGATGCTCCTAATTAATTTACATAATTTAGGATAGATCATCAACATATACAAATCACAATCACAAAAAATCCAGAATTAGATCATTAATAACTTAAATTTTCATACGGGGTATTGAAAAAACGGTCAAAACTTACTTGAATCGGTGCAGAGAGGCAGTGAAACTGCTGGATTGATGAGGAATAGAAACAAAGTTAGAAAGTGAGAGATGACCAAATGATAAACAACAACCATGACAACAACTCACTCAATTTCACAGAAACACAATTTGATTCGATTTCAATTTCCCCATGAACAACAGAGTGTGTTTCAACCATATTTGATGGGGAAGATGATTAAAATGTTAGACTTGGTCCCCAAAGTTTTAGAAATGTGACAACTTTGGTCGTATAATATAAACCATGGTTGGCAGGGACCAACTACGAAAGAAATTTAAACCACATGGGTCATTCGTGTAATTTAGATAACTAGTTAACAGATGAATTATTAAAAATTAACTATAATGATCTAATTGACATGTACTGTAAAAATTAGATGGCCTAATGCGCAAATATATATATATATATATATATATATATATATATATATATATATATATATATATATATATATATATCCCTATTCTAATAAAAGAGTAGTTTTTAATCTACTTTTGATATGTATCACCATATTAAGCTTCATAATTAATTATTTTTCTTTTACCATGTTTAACCTTATTATGTCTTATAATTAATGCATACAATTTGTCAACTTATTGATTTTCCATTTCAAATTTTAAAATTTAAATTTCTCATTCTAAGTAAATTAAATTAACAACATTAAAATAAAAATTAAAATAAAATTAATACAAATTATAAAGTGATATAATTTTACATATTTATTTAAATCAATGATTATAATTTTGTATAACTAAAAAAACCTCTTAATTAATAATTTATTTAAAATAAGTTATTAATAATTTTAAATTTTAACTATTAAAGTTTAATTAATTTTATAATCATAGTTCTCACGAGCTATAAAATAGTATATATATATATATATATATATATATATATATATATATATATATATATATATATATATATATATATATATATATAATTGGTCAAGTCGGAGAAATCATATAACTTCATTGTGCTAAAGCGACAGTTTCCATAAAATATAATGCTAAACTATAACGATAACCAAATTTTAGTGGTTTTTAATTTTTATTTGTTTGCCCACACAATTTGTAACAACTAGCTAAACCACTTTGCTGAAACGAAGGGATACGTCCCCAAAACTTTTCTTGGGTTTGGTCCTTACTTTATGTAAAATGACTATTTTAAGTTTTTAACTTTACCTGATTTTCTCTAATTTATTATTTGTTTATTTCTTTCCACATAGACGAAGTCATTGAGAATGAGACTCGATGCAAATTCAAGGCCAACATGTTTGTAAATTGTAATTGTACCACAATACAATAATCACAATTCCTTCTCAATTCACATGTATAAACTACAAAGATGTTTCATCGATCTTACATAACAACTACATATGAAGTTATCATATATCATATATCGATTTGTTAGCAAAAACACCAACAAAGTAACCTACTAATGCCAAACAGCACTAAACCATGCTGCTTGTCGAAGGTCAACATGGTAAATCTATAGCCCAAAAAATAAAATAAAAAATACAACCTACTCACCATTTTAAGATATATGGAAAATAAAACAGTTTCTCGTAAACAAATATTAAATTTCTTCTCTCTTCTGTTTTTTAAACGGCAAGACATATCATTAAATAACCAAATTACAAAGCTCCTTGTAGATGCTTTTAAAATCTCACTTATGATTCCTATCTCTTCTCTTTACTTAATATCAGTATCAGAATTATCTAACTGGTTTCAGATTTTGCTAGTTGGTTTAGAAAACAATGAATGTCGACCTTCTGCAATCATCTCTCCAGTTGCTTTCTTCTTCAGACTCACAACAGTTCCATGGTATCCACCTTTTCTGCCAAGAAGCTTTGCGCTAATCTCCAATTCATCCTACAATTAAGCTACATTCTTTAACATATAATCAAATAACCTCATCACACAGATTAAAAATTAAAAATGCTTACATTATTGTCTAACAATGCGTATGCAAGGAGTACCTTATTCACAACAATTACGAGACATTTAAGCTGACAACTGTGTTTTGCAGTTGTAATAAATCAGTTTTAAGCTTATGATAAACTGATTATAATTCTGATTTTCTGATTGTTTGAGGTTAAAAGTAATCGATTTGCATAATTAAGGAGCAGTGGCACGAGCTTACATTAAGCTTGGCTGTAGAAAGGTAAGAAATAGACATATCAATAGAAACATTCATCGGTACATCCTTCTCATACACCACAGACGCACCGATTTCATCTACTAAGCTCGCAATTGCGCCCACTGCCAGATTTCCATTCCTATCCTGATTTGGGAAAAATCACAACTAAAACTCATCAAAATCCCAAAAATATGTGAATAATCGAACTATCGCCTCAATTTGGATTCAGAAGGAAAGGTTAAAAGAACAAGAAATTGAGAATTTGAAACTAATCGAGTTTGAAATTCAATTGGAATTGGGGGTTCTTACTGTAAGGCGAGGGGGAACTGTGAAAGAGCAAGAGACGAATCCGGGTTGGAATCGGTCGAGTCGTATGCCTCTGAGGTTGAACTCCTCGTAGAAGCTGTGAAGGGCTTGAGGTTGATGCGGAGGGATGCTGAGTCGGGCGATTCGGTCGGAATCTTGGTGGGTTACGTGTAGATATTCTCTCGGCTTCTTCTCCATTGACGATTCTGTGTGACTAGGTTTCACTCTTTATGCAACATATGTAAAAACATTAGAACAAATAATTTATATAATTATTAAGATGTATTATTTATCTTTATTGTAATATGGGCACAGAAATAAAATCATATAGTAAATCTTTTAATAAATATATGTTACTAAAAATAATTAAGTCATTATCACTAACCATTCATAAAACATTATAACCTTATAATAACAAGACATAACATTGAAATTGAAAATATACATTTAGTAGAAGATTGGAGTTGAAAATTTGTAGTAGTTATATGGTTCAAAATTCATAGATTAAATTAAAATTAATATAAATTAAAGTAACTATTTATTTCATACCAAATGATATGAATTGCTACTACCCTATTGCACGTGAATAAACTTTAGTATAACTTTTTAATTAATATAAACTTTTAATATTGTTATAGTTAACAAATTTAAAAACCATTTATTTGGTTATTCTTCAATTTCAATCATTATGATGTTGTATGTGTGAAGGTGGTGAGAAGGTGTTGTAGCGGGCGTTAGACTATGGGGAGTGGTCACAAGTGGATTGCGGGTGAAGAGGAGATCATATCACTGTTTAATCATTCCACAACCAATCCGTTAGATTATGAAAATGGTATTCACTAGTGGTTAGGCTTTGAAAATGCAAAAATGAGAGAGAAACAGAGAAAATATGAGGGAAAGAAAACTAAACCAATCAGATCAATTGTCCACTCCAAGCCACCGACCATTGGGGTAGTGTTCACGCGTCCCTTAGCTGGACACGTCAGCTTCACGCGTCTTCTTCTATGTCCACTCCGGACAACCTTACAAGTGTTACGAAGGTGGGGTTGTGATAAGCTTATGGGAATGTGTTTCTTGGAAATAACAGCATGTAGAAGATTGGGAAGGATTTTTGTTGATATGATGAAAATGAAATCTTTTTTATGTAATCCAATGTTATATCGCCAAAAGTTTTCTTTTTCGCGTGTAAAAGCTTTTGATGGAAACCGTGTTGTATGTCATATTTTTTTATGTAATTCGATTTTATACCGCCAAAAGCTTTCTTTCTTTTGCATGTAAAAGGTTTTTATGAGCACAATATAGTTTATTATCACTATAAATAATGGCAATGTGTTTTATATTGTGTGAAAATAAAAAAAAAATAGCATTGTACTTTATTAGTGAAGTAAATAATAGCAATGTATGTAACTGATGTGAAAAATCAAAACGAAATAGCACTGCACTTTAGTAGCAATGTACTTTATTTGGCGTGAAAAATCAAAAAAAATATTGAATCTAGATCAAATTTTGAAATAATGGTAGACATTGGGAATGAAAAACGATGGGCATAAACAACCCATTTTGGGGATTCTTGTTTAGACGTGTCTTCCGACGAGCTTTAAAACTACAATCGGAGTTTAGTGGGTTCATTGGGGGAGGTCAATTTAAATTTGTTACAAATAAATAATATATTAAATATTATTACACAAATTATATCATACACCTTCCAACCACTCAAAGGTTTCATCTTCATTCAAAAAAGATAAACATCAAACACCAAAACAAGTTCTTGAAGCGAACCCCAATGGGTCCCACAACTAATATGCGAAATCGTAGATCACAATATCAAAGACCAAAAAAGGTGATACCGAGATTTGAATATAACTGAACAGAAGACCTCATTTGTGAATTCAGACCTTCTTATATAATCAGGAGAGCAATCTTATTTCAGATTTTGCTAGTTGGTTTACAAAACAATGAATGCCGTCCTTCGGCAATCATCTCTCCGGTTGCTTTCTTTTTAAAAATGATAAGAGTTCCTCGGTATCCCCCTTTTCTACCCAGAAGCTTTCCGCTAATCTCCATCTCATCCTGCCAATAACGTACATTAACAGTAAATGGTGAAAGTGGAAACTCCCCTCAAGGCTCTACAAGAGATAGATTGCTTATGGTGAAAGTGGTAAAGAACCTACATTCAACTTGGCCATAGAAAGGTAAGAAATCGACATATCGGAAGAAACATTAAGAGATTCATCCTTGTTATACACCAAAGTCGCACCAATCACATCTACTAAACCCGCAATTGCACCCACTGCAAGATATCCATTCCTATCCTGATAAAAAAAAAATCACAACTAAAACTCATAAAAACCCTCAAATGTGCGAATAATTTGAACAGATCGCAAAGGATCGTCTTAATTTGGATTCAGAAATGCAACCCATAAGGTTAAAAGAACCAGAGATCGAAAACATGAAACTGATCAACATATCGAGTTTGGATCTTACAGTAAGGCGAAGGGGTACTGTGAAAGAGCAAGTGACGGAGCCGGGTTGGAATCGGTCGACCCGTATGCCTCTGAGGTTGAACTCTGTGTAGAAACAGTAGAAGGCTTGAGGTCGAGGGATGTTGAGGAGGGCGATCCGCTCGGAATCTTGTTGGGTTACTCGTAGATATCCTCTCGCCCTCTTCTCCATCGAGGACTACTCGGTTTCACTTTCACCCTCTGCATCAAAAACGTAGACCAATAATTTAAGATCTTCCGTCTTCGTATCATACTATCATGTTATTTTATTTTTTATTATAGTATTATATTTTGAAAATCTATTATCTACAGTAATATGACTTTTGAAATAGTTTATTCCATATTGTGAGAATAGTTTACATTAACAAGATTTTTTTTTTTTTTTTTTATTTTTTATTTTTTATAAGCATTAACATAGACTTTTTCGTCGTTTTAACATAATCCATGCCAAAGTGTGTACATGCAAGGAATATGAAAGGTAGCCGGAACCGCACCAACCAACAACACCTTGAGTGCGGTGGCCCCTAATCATTCGTTCTCTCATTCCTTGATTGATTGAATTCATTTAAATGTAAGTTTTTTTTTTTTTTTTTTTTTTTTTCTTTTTTAATATATATATATATATATATATATATATATATATATATATATATATATATATATATATATATATATATATATATATATATATATATATATATACACACTAAAATTATTTAAAAATGTAATAAAATTTCTGATTTTTAATTTCTTACAAAAAGTAGAGTATTTGTCTAAATTTTTTTTTTTTTTAAAAATAAGAAAACGAAGAGAATGGTGACAATTTCCTGAGTTTGAAGAGTGAAAGAAAAGTGGGTGAAAAAATGCCGTAACACACAAAAAGTGAAAGGTGAAATTGTACATCCATTGGTCTAACTATACTAATATGAGACCTACGAATAAGTTTAGGGAAAACTTTTAGAGGAATTGCGAAAATAATATTTATTTGTAGCATGGTTAATTATCATGATACTTTGACCGTGTGCAACCAAATGTATTCGACACTTAGTTGTCTACAAACATTTATGTTTGTCAATGGGAGTGGTTTGCTTTTCACAATGAGCCGGTGTGAGAGAGTATGATGTCGAGTAGGAAAGAAATTTCATAAAAATTGTTTGTCTGATTTTTTTCCCATTCAACATCATACTTTTTCACACGATGTCGAGAGAAAACAAGAAAGGCAAAGGGACAAGCAAAGCTCTCGCTACCCCGACTTCTCCATTGTCCAAAGAATATCTGTTAACCAAAGAATGAAGGTCTAACAAAAAGTAGTGTATGCAACAAGTGGTGAATCGAAAACCACATGGTTTCTAATTAAGTTAAGTTGATAAAAACAAAAAAATCAGCGATACTTGTGGTGGGTCATGTCAAACCAGTAAATAGCAAACGATTTGCAAAAAGCTGGGTCGAACCCCTTAAAAACTAGCAAAAAACAATCTATTTGACCCAAGAAATCGGATTTTTGCTAAAAATAAACTTTACATGATTGATTTTCTTTTATTTTAAAAGAGTCCATTTGCAACGCAACAACTATTTCCTACGTCTAAAAATATGTGAGTTGTGTTGCTTTTTCAAGTTCTAATAACCCTTCATCATTCATTTTTATAATATTATGCAACTACAACCAGGGGCGGATCTAAGGGTTAGCTCGAGGTAGCTCAGGATACCCCTCAAAAAAAATTCGGTAGTGTAGATTTTTTAGAAAAAAAAAAATCGTTTTATGTAGTGTATATATTAGCATCCTTCACTTATAAGCACAAACAAATAACTAGTCTACTAGTTAAGGTGTTGGCTTAATAAAATAAAGGTCTAAGGATCAATTATTGCTCCTTACAAATTCTTTATTTATATATCTTTTATTTTTCCAACTATTGTATTCTTTTATTTTTCATTCCAACTATTCTATCCCACATCGCGAAACACATGAAAACTTAGTTATTTTCATCTATTATATAAGCTTGTTATCCACTTATCCTCATGCGTTATTTGATATCTACTTTAAATCCACATGGATTCAAGTATCAAAAGATACTTTAACTTCATGTTTATATAACAACACTTGAAGTTAGCTAACGATTCGATTAGAGTTTGGGTTTAAAACCAAAACCAAACTAGGAAACCCAAGTACAAATTGAAAAACGAAAAACTAAACCAATGGTTTTGGGTTCGGTTTTAGAAAAAACTAACCCGACCCCGCCATGCTCAGCCGCCGTTGCAGTGATACACAGGAAAAAAAAATAAGGATACCCCTTTGATTTGAGCCTGGCTCTGCCACTAATTACAACTCTTTCTTTTTCTCTTATGGTGGATAAGTTTTGATAACCATTAACCATTTTCTTTGCAAGTTTAAGTATAAAAATTCTAATATTTCTTTTATTTATTTGTTGTTTATTTTATCAAATACCATAAGGGAAATCCTAAAAAAAACTTCATATATAAATGCTAAATAAAATTAAAAAATTAGGTGGGTCCTAAAACCTACCTTAGTACATGTTAGATTCGCTCTTATATGCAACCCAATATACAACTTTGTTTTTCTCTGTCACATTCTATGTCATAGTGGATTTTTAATTTTTGGAACAAGTTTGTGTATCCTCAACCAAGAGATAACACATGTTTTGGGTTTTCTTGTTCATGCTTGTCTTTCAAAGAGCTTTAAAATTACAATAGGGGTTTAGTGGGTTTATCGTTAGAGGTTAACTTAAATTTGGTACAAATAAATAATGCATTAAATATGATTACACAAATTATATGATACACCTTCCAACTACTCAAGGATGTTTCTTCATTCAAAAGGGGGAAACATCAAACACCAAAAGCAAGCTGGTGAAGCAAACTACTAGCCTTTTTAAGAACCATATGTGGACATCCCACCAAACAACCGTCCTAAACCAATATGAAAAAAATAAATCACAACATCCCAAGACCAACTAAGGTGATGCGAAGATTTGAATACGAATGTATGACCCCATTTGTGAATTCTTATCTCCTTATTGTTTGGACAAACATGAATTGCTTCAAAATTATATAATCAGAAGAGTAATCTTATTTTAGATTTTGCTAATTGGTTTACAAAACAATGAATGTCTTCCTTCAGCAATAATCTCTCCAGTTGCTTTCTTTTTCAGAACAATAAGAGTTCCGCAATATCCCTCTTTTCTACCAAGAAGCTTTCCTCTAATCTCCAACTCATCCTACCAATGACAAAAAATACATCTATACTGTCATCTTCACAAAAGTACACAGTAATTCAACATTTTATTCATTTAGCCTAACTATTTTATTCACCAATCAAACCATTATAACTTTTTGAACCTTTTTTTTCCCACTTGCATGGTTTTGATAGCGAGGCAACATACAAAAAAATATGTAATGTACCATTTTATTAATTTAGCCTTCGAACTATTATTATCATTATCATTATCATTATCATTATCATTATCATCGATTGAACCACTAAACTATCACTATAAGATAAAAAAAATTATTCATTAGCTAAATTGATAATATGGTAGAAGTAAATCGTGCTTTTATGGATTTTAACACAAGAAATCTATCTTTCCTAAACCACATCCAACAAGTACTGAACCATATATATCCTACAAATCGACAGAAAAAGGAAGGTGTAGGTTTGAAATGATCACCATTACAGTAACGCACCAACCAATGGCCACCATTCGCCATCTCTGCCCTATGCAGCTTAAGAGTTCCTGTCTTATCATTTATATGTTACACCATGATAAATCATAAGCCACCTAATATACCTAAGCATGCAATGAAGGGGCGGATCTAAACTAAGTATTGAGATTTGCTGCATTTGCAGTTTGCACTAATGAATTTAAGTTTATATATGATAAACTAGCTGCAAGAAAACGCACGGGTTCTGATTTTTTAAGCACATGAACAAGAGATAGATTGGTTATTAACTGAACGGTGAAAGTGGTAAAGAACCTACATTGAACTTAGCCGTGGAAAGGTAAGAAATAGACATATCCGTAGAAACATTAAAAGATACATCCTTCGCATGCACCAATGTCGAACCAATCACATCTACTAAACTCGCAATTGCACCCACAGCCAGATTTCCATTCCTATCCTGATTTAAGTAAAAAAAAAAATTATCAAAAACCACAACCAATGAGGTTAAAAGAACATAAAACTTATCGAGTTTTACATTCAAATGCGGTTCTTACAGTAAGGCGTGGGGGAACTGTGAAAGAGCAAGTCAAAGAATCGGGTTGGAATCGGTCGACCCTTATGCCTCTGATGTTGAACTGTGTGTAGAAACAGTCAGCGGCTTGAGGTCGAGGGAGGTTGAATCGGGCGATGCGGTCGGAATCTTGCTGGGTTACTAGTAGATATTCTATCGGCCTCTTCTCCATCTCCATGGAGGACTCGATTTCACCTTCTGCATCAAAAACATACAACAAATAATTTAAGAGAGAAGTCAGAAAACAATATTTTAAAGATCTTGGTATCAACTATATATTTGTTTATTTTATATTATAATATTAATTTTTTAAAAACTATTATTATATATATTCTATTTATAACCCGGTGTGCCACCCAGGGCGATGCTACAGCTTCCTAAGTTGATTTGACATTATTTCTAGATGCTGTAAAATCCATATATTATATGAATTTAATTAATATATATATATATATATATATATATATATATATATATATATATATATATATATATATATATATATATAATTTTAACAATTTGAAAAGTTTGAATTTATAAGAAAAAATTGAATTATTAAAATTAATGAGACTTAAATGTATTGAATACATTACATATATAAATTGTTTTTAATAAATACTTTACATATATATTACCTTACACATTAAATGTGGTATTTTAATTTAATAAAATGAAAAATACAATAAAATGACAAGTGGAAAATAGAAAATTTAAAAAACCTAAAAAATGTCATATGTCCAAATGAATGAGAAGAGGACATATGGTAAAAAAACCTTCATTTATTATAGTAGATTTACAGGGACACCCTTGTAATTTTTGGACGGATACCCTTGTGAATGATAAAAACATAAATCAACGGTAAGAGCAGTTTGAGTCTTCGAATAATTAAGATCTTTTTTTTGAACTTGGATGTATATTTTGCCTCATCAATGTAAAAAATTGTAAAGACATACATAACAAGTTCTTTTTAAAAAAGAGGCCAGGTTACAAATTTTTAAAAGATAAAAGAGGAGGTAGAAGATGAATAAATTGAAGAAATGAATTTTTAAAATGTAAAAGACTGGTGATTTACCAATTTACCATACATAATCAAGATCATTACAACCTGTAAAACCAATATAACAGCAAATAAAAAAGGAGATACGTTACAGAAAAATAGAACAAAGTTATGATATTGAAGAGGTAAAACGATGATTTGCAAAGTGCAAACACAAAGATAAAAAAAAAAAGCTTAATGGAAAGTTGAGAAGGAACATTTGTCGAAACTTGCTGCCGGAGAAGCAACGACGCTCCGTGTCTAGTCCACTCGCCTCCGTTGCAACATGCAGTGTTGTACTCTCATCTCATCGTCTCTACTTTTGGTTTTTTTCGTAGACTCAACTCATATGTGTTGAAATAATTTGTTTAACCACTTTGCTCTGCCAGAAAAGCAACGCCGCTCCTTTATGTTTTATGTTTACCATCTTTTCTTGGTTATTGTATTCGGTACATTAGGCCTAGTAATAATTATTAGGCCTAGTAATAATTATCGCCATTAATGCCTATATGACTAAACGTTTCACTGAGTAAATTATTATAATATTTTTGTTAAATGTAAAGTATTGTGTGGGTTAAAGTGATTTAATTTTCATATAAGCGTTTAATTTATATATTTGTAGTTATATAATTATCATTCTAAGTATTTGATTTTCTTTAGGTTGAAACTATATAAAAACATATGAATAAGCTTATTGCTAGAAAATTAGTTTTAATCACAAAATGGATTTGGCGGCTGAAAGTAGATAACTCTAGATTATGGAGTAAGGTTATTAAAGGTATTCATAATCTCTTAATATATTTCCAAAAAGACATTACCTGGAATTTGGAACCGGATAGTTGGAATACAAGATGAATTGAAATTGTTTGATATTGACATGGAAGAAATAATGGTGAAAAAAATTGGATCCGGAGAAGAGACCATGTTTTGGCTTGATAGATGGATTGGTGACTCGACCCTAAAGACATCCTTCCCTGAAGCATACAAATTGGAACGCAACAAACACTGTAAAATCAGTGACCGTCTCCAAAATGGAATCATTAATTGGGAATGGAAATCAGCACCAAGAACTCCGGAGTTGGTTAATGAGATTAACCTGCTTGATTCCAAAATTAGAGACTTCCAAACTGTGCAGGGAAATGATAAGTGGGGTGTACATTAGCTAGTGACGGGGTATTCCATGTTGATAGACTTAGAATACAAATTGATCAGTGGAACCTGCCTAGACTGGAGACCACATTAAAGTGGATACACGAAATTCCACTAAAGATAACCTGCTTTATGTGGAGGGCAAAACTGGAAAGAATCCCAACTGCTAGCGCTCTTCTCAAATGGGGTATCCAAATCACCTCCCCCATATGTTCATACTGCGAGAATACAGAAGAGGACGCTTCCCCTGTGCTCTTTCGATGCCCGATGGCTGCAAAGGTTTGGGAATGAGTGCTTAGCTGGTGTGGTCTCCCTAATATACATTTTGAATCTGTTGAGGAGCTATTGACATTCACAACGCAATGGGGAACGTGTGAAAAGAAAAAGAGAAGTTTAATTAGTATTTGTTACGGGACGACATGACTTATTTGGAAGGCAAGGTGCGATTGGGTGTTCAAAAAAACAAGAACTTCCCCCGCTAAAGTGGCTGACTTGATAAAATCCACGGTATTTCTATGGATGAAATATAGGAGAGAACATTGTAATTTACAATGGATTGATTGGTGTATCAATCCTTTTATTTGCATGTAATTTTTCTGCTCTCTTTGTACTCTATGCCCCCCCCCCCCCCCCCCCCCCAGCATCTTGCTAGGTTGGTGGTTTTTTAATGATATTTGCCGGTTAAAAAAAAATAGTTTTATTATCGAAGAATATAAAAATAGAACATTAGATTTACGATTATTTCAAGTATAAAAATATATGTTTAATATTATAAATGTCATAGACGATATTATTGAAATTCCTACCATATAGCTAGCTCCCGTTAATATGGTCATCTCAATTAAACTGGACACACATAAGTTTTAATCCTGGATTCGCCACCGGTGCCACGGTTGACAAAATTAAAATACATTAGAAAATAACAAATTGGTTGTTAAGGTTGACTGCTCAAAAACTAATATCGATTATCGATATTAATCCTCCGGTAAGCATGAACATTCCAAAAACATCTTTCTGGATCTAAACCGAATAGAGAAATTAAATTGATTCCTCCTTTTTATGCCTACAAATGTTCTTACCCAATAAAATTATGACAAGTGTCATCATTCCATTTTTTTTAACTAACTCATTAAGATTATATTAGTAATATATCAAATAAAATTAAATTGAGTGGTGATTTGTCATAATTTTAATGGTAGGAACAATTGTATGTATAAAAGGTAGGAGATAATTTAATTTCTCAACCGAATATATTCTGCTGAAATTGAACGACTGGAAACATTTGGATCCCCAAAATGCCTTTGCAAGCATAGTAAGGCAAAGGAAGTGTATATCATCTTTATGTAAGAGAATTGGGAAGGTTCAAAATGGAGTCTCTATATCAAAAGAGTGCTCAGGTACAGATAAACGTACAAAAGTAGGGTGCTAATAAAATAGTATGATAAACAAATCAATGAAAGTACATTGCTATATTTAAAGACTGTTTGTTTGCCGTTTATTTAAAATTAAAAAATTTTAACTGTATCTTTTATACTTAAAATAATTTTACTCGAAATAGATCATCATAATTCTAAAATCTTAACCCTATATTTAATGGTTTGTAGTTTACCCCTAACATTGTAGCAATACCAAGTAAAAGATCCACTTTTGCAACCAAAGAAAGCATATGCAATAACCATATAGAAAACATTATTTTTCTTACATTCTCTAAACATTTAAACAAACAAAAAATTAGTTTAAATGTGCAAAATTCGAATAGGTCATGATCATTCAAATATCAAACAAAAAGGAGCATAATTTTATTCATTCACTCATTATTATTGTTTCATTATTATTGTTCATAGCAGCACAAAGTAATTATAATGATAAATTTTAATTACTTACTTTCAATATGAAAGATAAAGTTGATAGCAAAATAGGATGCTTAGCCCTTCTACCATATGTCAACAATGTTCCACCATGTCTAAAACCCATTATTAGTATTTTATTTGAAATAATAGCTTAAAAAGTATAAATGAAATGAAAAATGAAAAAAAAAATGTAATCTCAATTGATTATTAAGCCAATGTGTATAATACTAAGTATATCGCTCTGAAGAATTATCTTCCATTTATCTTCAATGTTCGGATTCTTCATTCTGCAAATGGAAATGGAATTACAGGATTAAAGATTGCAACTTCAAAAGAACAAATAATGGTAATGTTTTACTCAATTAGAAAAAGAAACAGTGATTTGTTTTAGTACTGCTCCTTCTTGATTTGCATATTCATAAAGGTTGCAGGCATAAAAGTTATTGCTTCTCTCTTCATGATCTAACCATTGACCAAGGCATCCAACATTTACAATGTTATAACTTTATTAAAATAATGCAATTATAATATACACTACTAAATAAAATTGCACTCATATTGTAGTATAAGTGAATTGATTCATGGAAATTCTCCATGGAAAAGTTAAGAGATGTTTTCTCAAATTCGCCTATTCTTCAAATACGTAAATTTAGAAGCTCTTGTGTCTGATGGTCCAATTTCATATTCTAGTTCAGCAAAGTTCTTCTCGGTTGACTGATAACCGACTACAATTAAGCAGAAATGAGAAAAGATGATATGAGGTTTAGGGTTTAGTATAAAACATTTAAAAATAATGAAACTGTATGTAAGTTCAAATCATATTGTTGATTAGTTTCAGCTCTCACCACTCCCAAAACACACCAAAACACAAAAACACATGGTAAAACATTAGGTGTTTGGGGATAATGAAGATATGTCAACCACAAAACCATAGTTAAGCCAAAAAATGAAATTCAAATGAAACATACTTAAAAAGCTAATAATCAGTTGAAGTTAACTTTGCAACATGCATTAAATTGGAAGATCGGGCAACAATTTCTTCCCATGTGAGTGACTTTTTTTCTAAAATAACAACCAAATTTCCATAACAAACCAATTTTCAAAACATTAACATTTATGAGATTTTAGATTGGTTATGGAGATTGGAATGATTCTAAAAATCAAAATCGAATGTGAATTCCGAGAAAAAGAAATGAAAATTGATTGGTAAAATAAGTACATGTATGATAAAGTTTCTGCCGCCAATCGAAATTAAGAGAAATGTAAAGAAGCTGCTACATGTGGAGGGCAAGTCTGATCCTTGGCAGAGAAAAATATCGTTAATACCAACTCAAATTTAAATTAATATTAAAGGAATACCAACAAATCAAATGCTTGGTGTTCTCAAACCTAGAATGTGGATTCAAATCCATATCGATGCACTTACGTAGAGTCGTAATTGGATGTAGAAATCAGTATATGGTTGATCTAGACTTTGCAACTTTCAACGGTTACTTCTTTACTGCTAACCTCTTCATAAGAAGCGGTGGTGGGATAAATTATGTACCATTCGAGAATGAGAAATTGACACACATTAGAGAATGAGAGATAGACACAAAGATACGGTGTGTGAGTTTGAAATTTGAAAAAAGAAAAAAAATTGGATATCTTGATTATAAGATTGCTAAGTTTATGGGATTGTTGTTAATAAAAAGGAACCAGACTATATATTAAGATATCTAAATCTGATAAATGAAATTAAAAATATTTTTGCTGATTTTTCAGCATAGAAACAATTAGAATGAAGTAATTTTTGTTGATTTCTCGGGATAGGATCGAACATATTAGAGACTAAAAAATTAGCGGTAAAGCAAAGCTATGGGTGATATACAAGATGCCACATGGAAATACTGGGTGTAGAAATGCTGACATGTGGCATAATTTAGAGTCTTTTATTAGATAGGTAGAGGTAGATTTACTATTAATTAATTAAATTATTAATTAACAAAAAAAAAGTCACTCAAATAAATATCTTTTCATATCTTCTTCTTTTTGTTTTTGTATATAACCTAAAAGGAAACTACTATTTATAGTAATATTATTGGGCTTATTATAGCTATCGAGACTAAACTTCATCAACATCTATCATATTGAAGGTATTCTGCACTTTGACATTGTTATAAGTTACATTCTTTTCCAATGATAACCTTATCACTCAAATTGCCTGCTATTTAACAAGTCCCACTCCCCGTGCTTCATCCTTTTAGGCTTCTTTCGGCTAGTGGTTCATGTAATTTCTTTTAGCAGAGATGGTCTTCGATTTTTATTCTCCATAATCCGAAATTGTGTCCCTCAATTTTTTTGATTTTAACTTTTCCATCTTCAACCATAGCTTTAATACAGTTTTGTTAAGAATCAACAAAAAATGTTAAGCAACTTCAGACAAAACGATAAATTAATTTTCCATCTTCAACCATAGATTTAATACAGTTTTGTTAAGAATCAACAAAAAATGTTAAGAAACTTTAGACAAAGCGATATAAAATTTTATGCAAAAACACGGAAATAAAACTAAGAAATCTGCAAACAAAAAACTGAACAACATGGTTCGATAAAAGTGTGATAGTTTCATTTTATTTTCTTATTTTTATAGTTTATTTTAGCATATTTCATCCATAATCTAGTTAATTTCCATGCATATTTCCCTTTTTGTTATTTTATGAACATTTCGGGTACTTTCTAGTTTCGTAAGTTTTATTGTAGATTTCATGGAGATTGGTGGAGTGGGAATGTTCGGGACGTATGGAAAGTGATTGGAATAAGAGGACGTCAAGGATTTTGCGCTTGATGGGTAGTGGAGATGATGCATGGAGCGAGCTTGATGATTATTTGAAGGCTTGGAGAAAAATAAACTTTAAATTTGCAAGATGTGGGAGTGTATTCAAGCGTGCGTAGATTATTAATCGGACGAGTTTACGAGCTATTGATCATTTGGAGAATCCAAATTGGGCTTAAATTGAATAAAACTTGAAGAAAAATTAGCTAGAAGCTGATTGGACTCAATCTGGGCCAGTGGGATATGCTAGGGAGGCCCAAAACTCAAAGAAGCCCATTTCAGGCACCACCCCCGCAACCCACCAGCGCAACAACATTCTCTCTAGAGTTTTGAATACTTTTAAAGGCCAAGAACACCTCAAGAACATCATTTTTTCACCTCTTGATTCTTATTAAATGTTTGGTATAATATTCTCTAACTTTGTTTCTTTGAGTTTAGTCATGCTTGGCTAAACAAAACTTTGTTGACTTTTGTTGAACCCTTTGAACTTTTGTTGAATGTTAAAGAATCCATGAACTTGTTCTTAGATCTTTATGTGAATGTT